GAAGAGCAAAGACAGGTAATAAACGAATGAATAAATAAATAAATGAATAAATAAATAAATAAATCAACCATAGAAAGAATTTAATATCTGTGTAAAAGTAAGGTATTTAACAATCTAAATCTAATTAAGATAAACTATTGAAGAATTTATCTAGTTTTGAACACCATCCTCTGTATCCGTGTAATTGAATCAAGATTACAGAAACTCACAGATATTAAACATCTATCTACTTAATACAATAATCTTGAATAAACATGACTGAAAGGGACTGTATTAATAAGTAGCATGTCTGATTCACAACTTTTCCCTCGAGAGCTTTATCAAGAAAACAAGAGATATCCATCATCTTCTCTTTAAAAATTTATTATTTTCAGTTGTGGTTTTATTTTTGAGTGTCTTGCGCATTTCTGCTTCCGAAACAAATGAGTTATTGTTAGAATTAGACATTTTTCATGCTAGACGATATCTTTTACATTATTGATCAGATAAATGTTCATAAAAGGGTACCGTTGTGATTTAGACATGCCTCTTTTAATGGTCTGTCACATAAAATTACAATGACAGTCCCTGTAATTGTAAATTAGAACGACAGTCCATGTAATTGTAAATTAAAACGTCAGTCCCTGTAATTGTGAATTACAACGGCAGTCCCTGTAATTGTAAATTACAACGACAGTCCCTGTAATTGTAAATTACAACGACAGTCCCTGTAATTGTAAAATACAACGACAGTCCCATTAATTGTAAATTACAACGACAGTCCCTGTAATTGTAAATTACAACGACAGTCCCTTTAATTGTAAAATACAACGACAGTCCCTGTAATTGTAAATTACAACGACACTCCCTGTAATTGTAAATTACAACGACACTTTCTGTAATTGTAAATTGAATTCGCTTCGTTCTAGTATCAGCTCTATTTATATCTTCTTGCCAGATAATAATTTTTATATTTGATTCTTAAGTTAATTAAATCACTCTCATTAGAACAACAATATTTGTCCAAAGTTTCAAGTTTTAAATACCTTCATGCTTCATTTATTTAACCGTTCCTCCTTTCTCTGTCACCTTGTCACCCCTTTTCACACAGAAAATATGTCTTCTTATCGTTCAGCTATGTCCTAATATTAATCTGTATATATAATATATACACGTATATATATGTATATATAAATATATTGTTTAGTTAAAATCAAGAAAGTTTTCTTTACACATACAAATGCTTCTGCAATCCTTCTCCTGTAAACCTTCTCCTGTAATCATTCTGTTGTCCTTCTCATTTAATCCTTCTCCTGTAATCCTTCTGCAATCTTTCTTCTAAAATCCGTCTCCTGTAATCCTTCTCCTGTAATCCTTCTCCTGAAATCTTTCTCCTGTAATCCTTCCCCTGTATAATCCTTCTCCTGTAATCCTTCTCCTATAATCCTTCTCCTGTAATCCTTCTCCTGTAATCTTTCTTCTGAAATCCTTCTCTATATATATATATATATACGAATGTCTTGTCTTATTATATATAGAAGATAATATTTACAGTTTACCTATAATTGTTAGAATTACATCATTCTAAATTCTTTTTAATATTTTTTTATGTATACAGTAAGGTATATAATAATTTGAACATTTCATATAATTTCATATCTACATAACAATGACTAATGTGCATCAACTTTCAAGACTGAACCGAATTTATAGTGTAAACACATTTTGTACTTTTGACATTTTTTGTAGCCATGGACTTAAATATTTTAAAGAGGGAATTACTCCAAACTATCAAGACAAAAAATTAGTTTATTCCTGAACATTTCCTAATTTAATTTAAAGTCACCATTCTTTGCTCAAAATCGAAAGGTACATCAATGTTTTTTTTTACCGAGGAAACAGTTTTTAAACAAAATTAAAATGAACCTAGTTCGGTGTGTGATGTATTTTCCAGGGGTTTTTAATTAAAATGAACCTAGTTCGGTGTGTGATGTATTTTCCAGGGGATTTTAATTAAAATGAACCTAGTTCGGTGTGTGATGTATTTTCCAGGGGGTTTTAATTAAAATGAACCTAGTTCGGTGTGTGATGTATTTTCCAGGATTTTAATTAAAATGAACCTAGTTCGGTGTGTGATGTATTTTCCAGGGGGTTTTAATTAAAATGAACCTAGTTCGGTGTGTGATGTATTTTCCAGGGGGTTTTTGATTAAAATGAACCTAGTTCGGTGTGTGATGTATTTTCCAGGGGTTTTTTATTTCAAGAGTAGATCTAGAGTCTGCTAAATTATTTATGCGGAGGTGTCACTCGTTTTCAGCCATATGTGCACAGATACATAGATACATAGATACATACATACGTAGATACATAGGGCGTACTCATATTTTTTGTCTTAGATTTGGATAGGTATAAACTTGTAGAAGGTTTCTCTTGAGTTAAATTTAATTCTATTTTATAGAACTAATATCTCTTTTATTTTTTAGATTAGTTTTACAATAATAATACAATAACTAACGATTGATACAAAGGAATTGAGTCTTTGCCACAAACTCAAATTGTATAATCCCTATATCTTTATAACCTGATGGTGTAAACATTTAATATTTCAAACTTAGATTATTTGATCTAACAGAATTCATAGTATGAAATATCTAAGGTCTGCGACATTGGGTTGCAAATATATAAGGATTAGAAAATCGATGTTTGTTGCAAAGACTCAATTCCTTTTGAAATATATACATCCAGGGCTATAAAAACTGAAATTGCCTTTGCAAGGTAAAACTGAAGGCCCATCGCCTTACGACACTTTAAAGTCAGTCGGATATCAGAAGTTGATTAACTAGCTGTGTAAATAGATAAAAATATATTTGGATCATGGAGATATAAATATCTGATTTTGAGATTAAATGATCAAATTCATTTATCAAACTTCTTTGTTTACTTACTAAATGTGATTAATCATGACTGGACATTAGGTTGTTTTACTCAGATTTCTCTATAGATATATAAATTTAATAATTTCAAACAAATACAAAAAAAATGTTAAACTTTATTTACTTTAAATCTATGAGTGACAGCGAAAAAAAAAAAAACTGCGGACGTGAAGATGGAGAAAGAGAAAAAAAGATTTATANCCCCCCCCCCTCGTCTGTTTAGTTTAGACACGTGAGGGATGGATCTGCTGAAAGTATAAACAAATCTTATTCCTATTTATTCTATTCTAAAGTAAACATAGAAAAAGTTAAATCTACAATTTTCACATTTTAGTTTTTATCTTAATTTCTTAATATTGAATGATGTGTACTGCACGCAATACATATTGTACATTACAATATACAGGGCTGTGTTTATCTTAAAAAACGTTTAGATAAAGAACTCGCATCAGACTATACATTTTTGCAACCAGATGTTGACCTCTTATATCTCATGATCTTTGCTAAATAAACAAGTCTAAAATATAAAAGGTCTTTACCCTTATTGGTTGCAAATTCGTACTGGCTTGTATCCAAGAACTGGCTTGTATATATCCATGTACTGGCTTGTATATATCCAAGTACCTGGCTTGTATATATTCAAGTACCTGGCTTGTTTATATCCAAGTACCTGGTTTGTATGTATATATCCATGTACTGTCTTGTATGTATCCATGTACTGTATTCTATGTATCCAAGTACCTGGCTTGTATATATCCAAGTACCTGGTTTGTATGTATCCATGTACTGTCTTGTATGTATCCATGTACTGTCTTGTATGGATCCATGTACTGTCTTGTATGTATCCATGTACTGTCTTGTATGTTTCCATGTACTGTCTTGTATGTATCCAAGTACCTGGTTTGTATGTATCCATGTACTGGCTTGTAGTTACCAATGCACTTGCATGTAAGTATCCAAGTACTTGGTTGTTTGTATCCATGTACCTGAGTCATTAGAAGATTAGAAGATTATTATCGAACCCAATTAACACAGAACCTGAATAGATAAATAAACTTGGCTACCGGTTCCGTATATATACATTATACACCCTAATTATTCTTGGTTTGGATACAGATCTGGATCAAGTACATGCACAGCAAAAACCGGGACAAAAGATAAAACTAAAAGTTAAAAAGATAATTTTATCTAAATGAAATATTTCCCTTCAGTTTCTTGTTTTAATTTATACTAAACCCTAGTATTTAATTTTTTATTTTATACTAATGGAAATACTTTCTTTCAGTACCACTATAGTAACTGCAGTAATTTTCCTAGTTCTTCTAAAGTTTTTTCCAGGGCTCTTGATTCTCCTAGCTCTCTTAGTTCTCTTAGTTCTCCTTGTTCTCCTAGTTCTCCTAGTTCTCCTAGTTCTCCTAGTTCTCCTAGTTCCCCTAGTTCTCTTAGTTCTCCTAGTTCTCCTAGTTTTCTTAGTTCTCCTAGTTCTCCTAGTTCTCCTAGTTCATCTAATTCTCCTAGTTCTCCTAGTTCATCTAATTCTCCTAGTTCTCCTAGTCCTCCTAGTTCTCCTAGTTCTCCTTGTTCTCCTAGTTCTCCTAGTTCTCTTAGTTATCCTAGTTCTCCTAGTTCTCCTTGTTCTCCTAGTTCTCTTAGTTCTCCTAGTTCACCTAGTTCTCCTAGTTCTACTAGTTCTCTTAGTTCTCTGAGTTCTCTAAATTCTCCTAGTTCATCTATTTCTCCTAGTTCCCCTAGTTCTCATAGTTCTCTTAGTTCTCCTAGTTGTCTTAGTTCTCCTGGTTCCCCTTGTTCCCCAAGATCTCCTAGTTCTCCTAGTTCGTATAGTTCTCCTAGTTCTCCTAGTTCTCCTAGTTCCCCTAGTTCTCATAGTTCTCTTAGTTCTCCTAGTTCTCTTAGTTCTCCTGGTTCCCCTTGTTCCCCAAGATCTCCTAGTTCTCATAGTTCGTATAGTTCTCCTAGTTCTCCTAGTTCTCCTAGTTCTCTTAGTTCTCCTGGTTCCCCTTGTTCCCCAAGATCTCCTAGTTCTCTTAGTTCGTATAGTTCTCCTAGTTCTCCTAGTTCTCCTAGTTCTCCTAGTTCTCCTAGTTCTTCTAGTTCTCCTAGATAGTTCGCTTAGTTCCTCTAGTTCTTCTAGTTCTCCTACTTCCTCTTTTTCTCTTAGCTCTCCTAAATAGGTCCACTAGTACTCCGAATTATTGTTTACAATCCAATTATGTCTTTATTAATGATTTTCCTCCAGGGCTTTCAAACTTAATCAAACTATGAAATAGAAGAGAACATGTGTTTAATTCCAGAACTGATAACTCCCACTTCAAATTCATCCTTCTCTTGCCAGTGGTTTATCAACAGATGTTCTCTTTTTTGCCCAACAAATCTTCTATCAAGGTCTCCAGGATCCCATTTATCCATCTTAAACTTCAAATTCCTGGTATTGTACCTTTTATCACTTTCTTAATTGTATCAAATCTGGGATATCTCTCAATCTTTTTCATTCCATCATTATACTCTTAATACATTACATCACTTAACTCAAATCTGTGTGCCTAGCCTAAAAGTATATAAACTCGATGGTAGAGGAAGGAGGAGATGGTTTCTAGACTGATCTCCATCCTCCTGGTGGCCTCCGGGCTCCTGGGCCCCTGCCAACCCTTCAACCTGGATACAAGGAACCTTGTAATACAGGATAGGCCTGCAGGATCCTGTGATAAAGAATGTATGTTTGGATTCTCAGTAGCTCAGCATTCAGAAGGAGGAACTCCATGGTGAGTAAATATATCGACTTCATATTTCATGATAAAGGAACTAATAACTCACAACAAACTCTGATTTTCTAACTGTTATATCTTTGCAACCTGGTGTTGTAAAAAATTTGATATTTCAAACCATGAATTCGGCCAGATCAGATAGTTAAAATTTGAAATATCAACGTATTCTATCATCAGGTTGCAAACATATAGGGATTAGACAATTTAAGGTTTTGTAAGGGTTTGGCCTCTTATCCTCTGCTAACCACGGATCTCGGCCCTCATCGTAATTACATAATCATCTTGCATATTAACAAGATTGTGTAAATTTAGCCTTATCAATCCTGTATTTTGATATGTCAACATCTATGAAAAAAACCAGCAACTTTTACGAATTAATTAACAAAGAGAGTTAATATTTTTGGATTGAGTAAGATCGAGAAGGATAGAGAGGGGGTTGGGAGAAAGGGGAAATGGGGAGGGGGCAAAAGGGAAGGGGGATATGCTTGGTAAAAACTTAAGAGAGGGATTTAAAGTTAAGGAATGCAAGGAAATGAATGAATGTTTTAAAACATAAAGAAACTGAAGATTAGTGAGGAAGATTTTCCTTTAGAAGTTTCTACCCTTCCTCATCATTCAAATAGTTTTTTCTCTAATTTCTCTATCATGACGCTTCAATTGTTTAGGTTCTATTGAGAATTAGAATAGTTATGATATTGATATGTATTATTTATCCCACTTAGTAATTCATCTTAACAATTAAAAACTATTGATTTACCGCAATGTGTACTTTACTTTCTTCGGAAATTTTATACTTCCGTTCTTAAACAAACCCAAAACCTTGTTATATATTTAGTCTTTAAAGGGACTGTCAGTGTAATTGAAAATGACCCTCCATGCAAAGATGGCAATGTCCGATTTTTAACGGTACCCATAAAAGCTTTGTCTGATCAAGGTGGAATCTGATATTCATGTTTTTGGTTCCTTATAAACTATTTATTTTCATTTGCACTATTAAGAATTAAGCATAGAGAAGTTATCAGATGGTCACTTAAAATTACGCTTACATGGTCCCTTTACATTAGATTAAATTAAATACTACACTGGACTAATTGTATAGATACAATTTAAAATTTATAGTAATAATAATAATATTAAAAATGATAATAATAGTATTAGAATGATAATGATAATAATGATAATAATAATATTGATAATAATAATAATAAATAATGTTCACAGATAATTCATTATCCAAGACTAATATAATAATATTTGTTTGTAAACATTAGAAATAATTATCTATGACAACTTATACTGATTGATCTAAACCAACCATTAATAAATGTTTTCTTGTATACACACGTATTTACCAAGCACACGCAACAGCTTTCCTTAAACTGTACTGAACCCAAACCCAGGAGTAAACAAATGTAAAAACAGTCCGACATGATTTGGCGAGGATTTTTATAAAATATTGCCATTTACGATTGATTGTCTAAGAGCCAAATCAGAACTGATATTTATTATATGAATGAAACAAGTTTTATTGTCATGTTATTTTCTGTTTTGATCCTTGAACAGAAAATGTATAAAATGTGTCTAATCATGTTTAGAGAAAGAGTAAAGATAACCCTACTCATCTTCACCTTTTTAAACCTATTATACACACTCCTCAAATAGGGGTTCTTAACGCCTGAAAAGATGTAAATAAAAACTTGCCACTTTAAGATGTAATGGCCTTTATCATAAACAAGAAGAAACTTTTTTGGTTTGAAATACAAATTTGATGTATTTTCAATTGCTACCCCATCTTCTTATTTCCCACAAAAACCCTCCCCTTCTCCTTCCTTCTCCCCATCTCTTCTATTCTCCTTCCAAGCACCCCCTCTTTATTACAATCCAATTATGTCTTTATTAATGATTTTCTATGTAGTACATTTTTAGAAGCAGTACAGTGGTTCTATACAGTACAATTTATACACGGTACACTTTTTTGTAGTACAGTGTGTTTAATAGTGTTCATTTATAGAAGCAGTACAGTGGCTTCATGCAGTACATGTTTCTTTAAAATAGCATGGTGGGATATTAGTAAAGGTTAAGGTTAAATGATATTTGGAAAAGAATGAATGGGGAAGGATAAACCAACAAACCAAAAAGAAGCCACAAATGGGAAAGATGGGAAAACACAAGGAACATAATGGAAAGAATGGAAAGGATAGAAAGGATGGAGAGGATGAAAAGGATAGAAATGATGTAAAGGATGAAAAGGATGGAAAGGATGAAAAGGATGGAAAAGATGTGTCCCATCTTCAATTGTAACTTTTAGTTGTGGGTCGTGGGTCTCTCTGTAAGCATACTCTCTTTGTAAAATATAAAAACAATAAAAAAAGTTCGCGGATTTGACAATATTTGTTCACGGATTTTCAAAATTTTACAAAAATCAAGAACTTTTGGACACATTTTTTGTAATTTTAAGCATCTATAATCCTTTCCTGAGGTCATGTGTGGTCCCACACAAAATTTAGGCCCGATAGGCTCAGCCATTTTTACGTTTACTGGATACAAACGGACATACAAACACCCAAACGGACACGCAAAGTATATATATATGATAAAAGACAAGTAGAAGGAAGGGAGGAGGGGGGTTACAAGGGATACTAGGAGAAGAACAAGAAGAAGAAAGGATTATGTATGAAGATTGAGGAGGAGTAAAAAGATTTGGTTAAATACGCGTAAATCTATAAAGATTTAATAATCTACCGACAAAAGTATTATGATGAATAAACTACTAGGATTATACCCCCCTCCCTGTTTTTGTAAAAACTGCGGGACGTATAATGTTTAAATATCTCTCTAGGAGGATTATAGAAAAAGACTCCTTTCAAACCCCCAATTCCTACGTTCTTAATGGATTTTTACGGAACTATTGTATTTTTCATATGTATTCACAATAAGTGAAAATATTCTAAATCTTCTAGATGTTAAATCTTTCCCCAAAAAAATATTATTAACATTTGTGGCATAAGAAAAAGTAGGTTTTAAATAAAGGCCCAACATATGTGATCCCATATACTATTTAATTCATAACATATTTTCTATAAGTACCTTGTACAACATTTGTAATGTAAGTATTGAAAGATATGTACTGTACTTAAAAAATATGTACATTGTTATAGATACATACATATGCACATTTTTAATGTTTGAGAAAGGGCGGATCATTCAGGTTTAACTAAGGGTGGAGATCTCCTAGTACGGAACTATATAAGCCTGGTTTCATTCCAGGATATTGGTTTTATCCATATCTTTCTAGTACATGGAAACTCGTCAAGTTTTAACCTTTATGTAAACCACTGTTTTGTTTTATTAGAATAAAAGTTGGTTTACAATGTATACAGTGATAACCAGAAAACAATGGAAGAGGAAGACGACATGATAGCAATACTTAAGTGTATTTGTTAGAAAAGCAAAGCAAAAAACTGGACATGTATTGAATCACTAATTTAATTAAATGGGTCTGTTTACACTGCACAGTAACTGTGTCTCATGCTCATAGGATTTTTAAAGTTATAACTTTTTTTGAAAGTCGTCTTCCTATTTTAGAGTTTTCTGGTTATTACTGTAGTTGCTAGATTATATCCGCCCAACCTTCATCCAATAGCCATAAAATAAAAAATACAAAAACTTATGATTTTACATTTATACTGGTGAGTTTAACTACAATAAAACAAGTTGTTAGCAAAATATAAAATGTATTTTATTACTCATATCCTACTGATATATATTTTGCATAGTATTTGCAATGAGTAGTGCTGAAAATAATTGCACACCTCCATAAATATCCAACAGCCCTGTTCATCATGCCATAGTTAGATATAATGGGTTTTAATAAACCTTGAATATTAAATCATTGCACAGAAAACTATAATATATCTATATAACAAATATGTAATATATACGAGAATAAATAATATATATATATAATATATACATTTGTATTTATATATGTTGTATATATATTTTAACAAGGAAGTTAGGTTTTTCGCGTTTATTTGATCAAACTGCAACCTTAAATTCCTGATTCAGTCAATTCCTTACCCGTACATGGTGTTTCAAGATTAATCTACGAAACAATAAAAAAGTATCCAACTCACGTAGATCTTGTCTATGAATTATCCAACTCACGTAGATCTTGTCTATGAATTATCCAACTCACGTAGATCTTGTCTATGAATTATCCAACTCATGTAGATCTTGTCTATGAATTATCCAACTCACGTAGATCTTGTCTATGAATTTTGAATAATTTTAAAGTAAAAGCTTACATTTCTAATAAGCCTTCCAATATTTTTTTTTTATTTTTAGCCTTATTTTTGCTGAACTGAAAAATATTGAGCTTACATATAGACATGACACGATGAATTATTTTACTAAGAAATAAAAAATTGAGCTTATTTTGTTGCATTTAATGGTGGGATGGTTGGGGCGGGGCTTATGTACTGTTTTGCTTAAATTGGATTCAGTGTCGATAATTATAATATAAATAAGAATAATGCTTGCAGTTCCTCCCTTAATTAAGCACCACAAGTACTTTTTACTCAGAAATATGTTTCTTGCCGTTTATCTGAGCTAGAAGGAACTGTACAACTGCAATGTGTACCATGCCGTTTATCTGAGTTAGAAGGAACTGTACAACTGCAATGTGTACCATGCCGTTTATCTGAGTTAGAAGGAACTGTACAACTGCAATGTATACCATGCCGTTTATATGAGTTAGACGGAATTGTACAACTGTGTACCATGCCGTTTATCTGAGTTAGAAGGAACTGTACAACTGCAATGTATACCATGCCGTTTATATGAGTTAGACGGAATTGTACAACTACAATGTGCACCATGCCGTTTATATGAGTTAGACGGAATTGTACAACTACAACGTGTACCATGCCGTTTATATGAGTTAGACGGAATTGTACAACTACAATGTGCACCATGCCGTTTATATGAGTTAGACGGAATTGTACAACTACAACGTGTACCATGCCGTTTATCTGAGTTAGACTTAATTGTACAACTACAATGTGTAACATGCCGTTTATCCTTAGGGTTACCCACAAAGGATGAAAATTTAATGACGACCTAAAACTCATTAAAAATAAAGATTTTAAGATTAAATTTGGCTTTTTGCCTTGAATAAGAATAATAAATCCCGTACAGTCGTCTTTGAAGTCTTATCATTTGTGGGTTGCCATGTACTTCAGATAGAACTGTACAACAATGTGTACCTTTTCAGTTTTCTGCAGTCGGACGGAACCGTACAAAGCAAATGTGTACTGTAATAAACTGATTTCTATTAAGCTCCAAACATTGAAGGTTGGGATTAATATATGAACTGTTTAGGGTACTTGTTGGAGCACCTAGAGCAGAGTCAGGACAGCCTGGTGTAAGCAAGGGTGGAGCTGTTTATAAATGTCCAGCTCTATCTTCCGGAGGTTGTCAAATCATTCCTTTCGACAAATCAGGTAAAATTTGCGAATTTTTTTTTAATTTGTTGATTTTTTAATACCATAAATTTTCAACATTTTTTAAAACAATTTTGTTTAGGAGATACATCAACTCCTCAGGGTAAACAGTATGATATTAAGAGCGGTCAATGGTTTGGAGCTGTTGTTCAAAGCTCCGGAGCAGATGGTACAGTATTGGTGAGTAATCTATCCCGTATCCAACCCATCCTGGAGACCGAGATGGTTCCTGCTCACGTAATGTAAAGTGTATTACACACATTGATGAACGTTATATCAGTACGTTAAGTCGTGCAAAATTCTATTTTTTCATCTTTTGTCTGGAACTAGTACATTGCGTGTCACGTGACAAGGTGGTTGGGTATACAGTACATTGCATATCACGTGACAGGGCTTCATGTGACACTATAAGGGGAGATTGTACATTACACTTTACGTGACACAGCGGTGTATTTAAATATAAAGTACAAGGCGTACCAAATAAAATACTTAATATAACGTTACTGGGGATTTCATTAAAAAAACATCAGTGAATATTTGTCCCACCTTTTTACAACCTGAGGCATTGATTCTAATTCTTGTAAATTAATGGAATAAAACAAGGTCAATCTACCTCTAGGCTGTCCAGGCCGATCTAGCAGTTTAAACATCATAAACTTAACTAAGCACGGGTTTAAATTGAAGCAGTAAACATTAAATGGGAAGGTGGAGGGAGGGGGGGGGATATCCTGTAAAGTTTGATTTAAAAATATTTATTATTATCATGATTATATTATCCATGTTGCCTAGTTTGAATGCTTATAAAAGCTTGTGTGCATCATTATCCATATATCCATACATTTTAAAGGGACTGTAAGCGTAATTTCAGGTGATCCTCCATGCAAAGATGGTAAAGTCCGATTCACAACGGTACCCTTCAAACCTTTATCTGATCAATACAATGGAAGATACTACGGTAGAAATGCGTGTGGGAAAATAATCCGTTTTCAAAATTATGAACATTTTTACCTAATTTGTAATTGTTCAGACAAAGATATTAAGAGTACCGTTGTGAATCGGGCATTGCCATCTTTTCACGGAGGGTCACTTGAAACTACACTTACAATCCCTTTAATCTTAAATTATATCTTTACGCCTTGAGCCATTGATGGACCATGTAACCTCTTCTTATATCCTGCCTGAGGCCGAGGGTTGAATAGCACGCGTCCTAACTTTTTACAAGTTTTTGTTTCCCTGGTTTCATGTTCTACCAGATTATTGAAATATAAACGATGATTATATAAATGACTTAATTATGCTTATCATTACTTTTTTGCTTAATCCAATTTCATTCTACATGCCGGCAGTGTAGTAAAGGCTGAATCTTCCTCTGTTTATAATTCACCCCTGAGTTTTTAATTATTCTAAAAAAATTAAAGAAAAATTACTGCAGACAATCATCAGTTATCGCCCAGCATAACTTCGTGTTGACAGCTAAAACAGTTTCTGTCAAAACGAAATATATTCAAACATTAAAATCTGCTTTTTCTAGCGAGCAGGTTTGGGGAACACATTTTATTATTTTGAAAGATTAAACCCCCTGGTATGAAGTGATACCGGAAAATCCTCGAAACTAATATCTATATTTTCAGGCCTGCGCCCACAGATATATTTATTACGTATTTATGTATCGACTGGACCCGGTCGGGGCCTGCTTCGTCGCCAGGAATAATTTTACCCAGTTTCAACAGTTTCGACCCTGCGTGGAGACAGGTGATTAGAGATGGGTATTGTCTAACGTTATTCCGTACTAGGCCTGTGCACCGCGCTATGTCTGGCTATCCAGGAACTATAACAGAAGAGAACCTATTGGTACATGTTACACGGCGAAAAACAATTTAGGGGAATTTCTCGAACACTCCCCATGCCGGACAAGTAAGTGGGACGGATTGGAGCTAAAGAACCCCAGCAAGATTTGGGTGTTTGGTCTTAGGCTTGATTATTCTAGGGGATGCCTGCTCTATCCCTTCTATCCAACCTATCCCAACAAAACACAACAAACGCAATTAATCAAATATACTTTTTTCAGTTTTGTTGTTTTTTTTGGGATGACCCATCATAACCCTTAATATGCGAGAAAATGAATTTAACCTTTTAATCAAAGTATTTTCTCAACAATTATAGTTCAGAGAAAAGTTTCTAAATATTAATGAGTTTTAGGTATTTAGTTTAATCTTCACCATTGTCCTCGAAGGAAAATTAATCCATGCCTCAGTGCTTCTAATTTTTCTTGCTACTGGAGACAACTCAAATTCAAAGATTTCCAGGCGTTTTGGGAAACATTTGATTATTTTTTAATAATTTGAGAGACATACTTACAGGGTGTCCCACGAAACATAACAATAGCAAGAGTACTTGAAGGTCGTCTTTGATATTTGAAATAATTTGCTGCATTAATTCGTAACCCTAATTTTGTAAGTATAATTCTAGAGTCAATATTCACAAAATACCCCCTGGTCCAAAATGTAGTCTGCCTTTGTTGTACTTTCAATATTACCGGTGATACAGGGTGTCCCACGAAACATGACAGTTAGTGAATAGTTTAAAATGTCTTCTTCCATAATTTGATAAGTTGTTTGATACTAAAGAGACTAATAACATTTATTATATGATAGTTATATTATAGTAAAATTGATTTCACAGTAAATATATGAGTTAAACATTTTTTAAAAGAAATAAACTGCAAAAAGTCCTAAATATCTAATACAGTATGTGGAAGAAGACATTCAAAACTATTTATCAACTGTCATGTTTCGTAGGACACCCGGTATATATTAAGAATTTTGTTATAATTTCAACAATTTTGTTTTTATTAAATAAATTGAAATCTAAACGCAATTTTTAATATCTCCGGAAATATTGACAGCACAAAAAAAGGAAAACCACACTTTGGAAATGACAGAACGTTCTACTGTCAAGTTTCGTGGGACACCCTGTATTTGAAACATATACGTGGATTAATTATCGGAAGTTTATGTAAACTTTTATATGTAGCATTAAAATGGGAATCAACAAACCTTAAAAACTATGTATTGGGACCAAAGAGAATAGAATATATATTAGAGTGGAATTTAAACAATCCCTCGGTATGAATTTTGTCAGTCCCTTTCAGCCTGAAAGGGAGTTCAAAGTGTGCAAATCATGTAAATGTTCAGAAATTATATGCAGTAGAGTACATTAATACAGTATGACCCTAGACGTTCCATTTCAATTTCGATTTTTTTAAAGCTGTTAAATATAATTTTAAAAAATGATTTAGGTGAATTTGATTTATAGTTATAACGGAAAATCATCGTTTGTAAAGTGAAAGGCATAGAGTAGAGTCTATGTGAAAGGATCATTGGTCAATTATGAAACCAGCTATTTCATAATTTGGTTTTTTTAATATTAATTTTAGATTTTCTATAAAATGATGTTCCAGGGCCAAAAAGGTTATATAGCACAAATATGTGAAGTACACCTGCAGTATGGAAACAGTACAACAAAATGGCCGTTTTACACTTTTTTCGAGTAAATTCCCCTCTAATACATATTCTATTCTCTTTGATTGGGACATAGGACATGGGACATTTATAAGATTTTAGGAATGTTTAAAATCTTGGAGGGAAATAGACATCGGAAATGAATCTTAATGTATGAAAAACTATCTGTAAAGAATGAAAGAATGAATGAATGAATGAATGAATGCACCTGAAGAAATGAATGGGAAATGAATGGGAAAAGTCTGGAAAATCAGGAATGTCCAAACAATTAAGAATACAGAGGATTAAATTCGTCACACTGGTTTTTACGCATTGTACGCTTAATATCGTGTTCAGTGTTTGTGATTATTACGCATTCAACAATAGGTGTTTTAGAGGCATTGTGTACACTGTAAAGTATTAAAGTTTCCCTTGACAATATATTACCCGACCTATTGTATTCAATACTTTAAGGGAGGGGGGGGGGGTAAAAAATGTCGAGGGGTGAAAAAGTTGGGACCTTTCAGTTTATCATTCGCTGATATATTTGCAAAATTGTGTTTTTATTTTATTTCTCCGCTGGGACGAGTTCTTACTTATCTCTGGGTTCTCCTGGATACTGTATTTAAACTTTATGCAGTGTTTCATAATGTAAATATCTTTCCTTTCTATTTTTCAAGATATTTGCTTGCAGTCATTCTTGTTGTTATTTCCAGTTTGAAAGGCCAGCACAAGGACGAAGGCCTGCATAAAATAATATTTAGCTCATCCTAAACCAATCCCACACCGCTTTAAAAGCATGTTTTCATGTTTTTAAAGCGAATTTTATTATTTAACTGAATTTTTTGTTCAACTATTTTAAAAAAAGGCTGAAAATGTTGAAAAAATAAGTTATTATTAAATTTTTCTAAAATATTTAGCATTTTCAGCCTTTTTCATAATTTTACAGATTGCTCTGAAACCACTGAAGAAGACAGTGAGAATAGATACATTATTATATGTTTTTAAAAACTTAATAAAGTATATTTATATTACAATCTTATTTCTATCTTTAAGGACAAATGCCAGGTTTGTTTGTGAATGGACTTTAGACGATTTTTCAAGTAACCCTACATTTAAAAATTAGATGTTCTTTTCACAAAATTATATTTAAGCATTTTCTGAGTAACATGGGGGAAAACTTCGTAATTTTTCTTCATCAAAAAAGATTAATTCTGCAAGTTTTCTTTCTAGTCTCTGCTGTATAAATTTGCATGTCACTTTTATGGAGAAAATGAAATTTATCAGTTTTCAGATCCAAAAATCAAGGATATTTGTCTCCGACAAAGTTACCGTTGTGAATCGAATAAAACTTTTAAAATCATGAAATACGTCGGCAGTCCATTTAATACTTTCATCTTAAACCTGGCACTTTCCTTCCCCATCCAATCCTTTAAATAAACCGTATAAATGCGGGAATAAGATCACACCGTGAAGTGTAGTACAATCTTTCATTCATACATTCAAAGATTTTTAACAAAACAGATATAACAATGCATGTCGTCTTTTCAAGATTTAGGGATTTTTCGTTCACAATAACCCTGAAGACAGAGGCTTAAGGGAGTTGCGCGCATGCTCTCTCTGTATGTCTTGTAATTCTGCCTCAGGGTTAGTGTGAACGAAAAACCCTTAAATCTTGAAAAGACGACATCTAGTGTTATATCTGTATTGATATTAATCTATGCATACATTATACATATTTTAATCCAATTTAAAGTTGATATTTCATATAGTTGATTTGAAAATTCTTTAAAATTACATATTGGTCAATAATTTGAATATAAGGAAAAAGTTATCGCAGCGTCGTATGAACAACTTTACTAGCGTTGAACTTTTTACCTAAACTACACTTCTAGGTTCTCCGATCCTGCATCTTTAATGCATCCTAATCTTATAATAAATCAATATACCAGACTAATAACTAGTTTAATTCAAACCCTAAACAACAGAACTAAGAATGATTGAACCCGAATTTAAATTAATATTTAAACAACGTTTTAAATTTGTAGATAAACCTTAATATTTAATATTTAATATGATTTCCAAAAGTTGAGCCCAAATGTTTTTGAATCAAGATTTTTTTTGAAAAATGAAAACCAACATTTTGGCTGAATTTATGGTTGCATAATCCCACCTAATTCAACGTTGTAGAATGAATTTGATTGTTCAGGGAAATGGGGATATCATCGACAGGGTTCATGTCAAGCAGGACTTGGAGCTGCAGTATCAAAGGTAACCTAGATATCTGGGATTGTCTAAGAGTGAGAACTCGACAGCTTGTAAATGAATGAACTCGGGGGTAAAGTGTGTTTACAACAAGTCTAGAATCTGGCTTAGGGCTATTTTTGTTGTATGTTTTTACCCTGGGATGTTTGTGTGTGTTTGGGTTAGTGTGTGTTTGTTTAAAGTTTAAAGATTGACCCTACCTAACATAAATCAAATGAACCGAGGTCAGCAGACAATACAAACCATTTAGAGATACGACTTCCAGTACAGTATAATACTTTGATCACATATATACATATATATACATTTATAAAATGTATCCTGGATATAATCCTTGGATATCTAATGCAACCTTGACTTTTTTATCCTGTATTTTTTGTATCTTTATCCTTAATACCAGATATAATCTAGACTCCTGTAAGGTGTATCTTCATCCAGGATATCTAATACAACCTGGACTCTTGTATCATGATACTTTATCCTGGATATCCAATACAAGTGAGACTATTGCATCCTGTATCTTTATCCTGGATATCCAATACCAGTGAGACTATTGTATCCTGTATCTTTATCCTGGATATCTAATACAAGTGAGACTTTTGTATCCTGCATCTTTATCCTGGATATCCAATACAACCTAGACTCTTGTATAATAAATCTTAATCCTAGATATCCAATTCAAGCTAGACTCTTGTATCCCGTATCTTTAATCCTGGATATCCAATACAAGCTAGACTCTTGTATCAAGTATCTTAATCCTAGATATCCAATACAAGCTAGACTCTTGTATCAAGTATCTTAATCCTGGATATCCAATACAACCTAGACTCCTGTATCATAAATCTTAATCCTGGATATCCAATACAACCTAGACTCCTGTATCATAAATCTTAATCCTGGATGTCCAATACAACTGATACTACTGTATCCTGGTTTCCTGTATATCTATTGTATCTTGTATCCTTCACGTATATCCTATTTTAAGTATTCCTGTTGCAGAATGGAGAACAGATTTATATTGGTGCTGTGGGCTCCTGGTACTGGCAAGGTAAGAATACGTATTGACTCCAGTAGTAAATACAACTGCTGGGTTGTAAATACCGACCACATATCTGTAGTTCAGGCTGAATATTAGATTTTACTGTTCAGTTTCAGCTTAGCGCAGTATACATTTCATTTCTTATATTACTTTCACGTAGATATATATAATATATATAGACATACTTCCTTCTTCATATCTATCTAAACACAATTTTAGTCATATTTTACCTGTAGAACACTTATATCCAGTCATTATTTACAAGTAGAACTAAAGATTAAAATCATGTACAAGTACGTTTGAATTAGTAAATTTTTAATTTTAATATAACGAAATATCTATCCTATCACAATGTGCATGTGTCCGGATGTATTTTAATATATTTGAATTTATTATAAATGTTTGAGATTAATGTAATAATCAGCCTTATTTGGTGTCATGTCTGTCTTAAAATTGTTCACCCTTCTCCCCGCATAGTTTGCAAATGAATTAAATTTATCAGGCATGGTACAAATATAATATTCCAGCGAAAAAACTTCATTTATCTTAAAACGTCTGAAATTCAATCGTTTTAAGTAAAGATGCAAGGGGTACTTGAAAGTAAGAATACTCCTTGGATACTCTTTGTATACTCCTTGGATACTCCTTGGATACTCCTTGGATACTCCTTGTATACTCCTTGGATACTCCTTGGGATACTCTTTGTATACTCCTTGGATACTACTTGGATAATCCTTGGATACTCTTTGTATACTCCTTGGATACTCCTTGGATACTCCTTGGATACTCCTCGGATACTCCTCGGATACTCCTCGGATACTCTTTGGATACTCCTTGGATACTCCTTGGATACTTCTTGGATACTTTTTGGATATTCTATGGATATAGGTCTTGGTCACGGTTTCCAGGTCAGGTTCACAAGTAGAAACTCACTGGATCAAGTTGCATCAGTTGAATATAGGTCTAGGTCTGAACTCAAGGGATAGATGTAGGTCTCTAGCTCAGTATATCTGATAGATGTTGGTCTCTAGCTCAGTATATCTGATTGCAATCTCCTATACAAGCTCAACAACATACATATATATATATAAACTCGGTCCTCTTATCCTCTTATCAACTTAAGATGTTATTTTCTCCAACCTTAATTGGATTAGTCAGCTACTCCGTTCCCAGATTTTTGATTAGCTTTATCTTTGCTCCTAACCCCTTCTTCACGACATAAAAGGTTGGGTTTAAAAAGAGTTTTTAGATTTCCTTGAACTTTCTCCAATTCTTGGCGGGATAACTCAGTTTTAAAGGGGTTCCGGGGCATCCTTGAAATTATTCTTGATGGGGTTCCATTAGATATACTGGTGTTATGTTGGTTCCCCTGGTTCTTCCTTTTATAACGTGAGTTTCCTCAGGGTTTCCCGGTTGTAGCTGTCGGTTTCCTGTATCAATGTATTTTTTTGCTAGGGGTTTCCCGGTTATAGGTGGGTTGCTTTTTTTGGTTTCAGGTGGTATTTTTTTCTGGTTCTCGTTTGTTTTCCATGTGGTTTCCTGGTTCTAGGTTGTTTTCCGGTTGGTTTCCGGGTTCTATGTTGTTTTCCATGTGGCTTCCTGGTTCTATGTTGTCTTCCATGTTGTTTCCTGGTTCTAGGTTGTTTTCCATGTGGTTTTCTGGTTCTAGGTTGTTTTCCGTGTGGTTTCCTGGTTCTATGTAGTTTTCCGTGTGGTTTCCTGGTTCTAGGCTGTTTTCCGGTTGGTTTCCTGGTTCTATGTTGTTTTCCATGTGGTTTCCTGGTTCTATGTTGTTTTCCATTTGGTTTCCTGGTTCTATGTTGTTTTCCATGTGGTTTTCTGGTTCTAGGTTGTTTTCCGTGGGGTTTCCTGGTTCTATGTAGTTTTCCGTGGGGTTTCCTGGTTCGTTTGACTAAATTCAAGAATGCGATGTGGTTCACTCAAATATTCTTGGTCTCAGTTTGGTTCTGTAGCTGGGTTTACTGATTCTAAACGGGTTTTCATTTTCCAGTTTTTTTTTACAAAGCTTCCTTGATTTACTTCAGATGTATCAGATATTTCTCCTGACGGTTCTCATCTGTTTTTGTGCTCATCAGTTTTTTACTTGTTTACTTTACTGAATCCACGTTCTTTTTAGTTCTCACTTTTCAATATGTGTGTTTAGGTCAAACTAGATCAAAACAGATTACTTACAATAAACCCCAGATATTTCTGAAAATGCTACTCTCTGTACGACCAAATTTCTTTTTCTTTCTTTCTTAAAGCAATTGAAGACGGCTTTATTGAAATATATGATGATCCTAGAGATGAGGAAGGATTCTGAATATGCCTAGTTTGATTCTCCAGCTGAATCAATAATCTGGGTTAATCTTTCTCCTCCTACACTACTGCATACTCTGTATACCTTGTATACCTTGGAGTCAAGCCAAGTTAAAGAACCCTCATTAAAACAACTTCACCTATTAGAGGGATATGTTTTAAAAGTCATCTTTATTTTAGGATATTACGTCATACTTGATGCATTAATTGCAATATTATGAACACACTCATGCGTGTAAATTAATTGCTAAGTATATAAGAAACGCTGCACTGTATTTACTGCATGAAAATGCAAAATAACACTTTAAACCAGAACAGAAAACTTACTTGAGAATATTTTTAAATTTTAGGGCAAGTGTACTCTATAAATACACAGAGTAGAAATTCTTCCATCTTTAACCAGTCTCCAGGTAGACAAAGATACTCATGGTTAATGGGATACTCACAATTCGTCCTTGCTCACAATTCTTCCTTACTCACAATCGACCTTGCTCACAGTTCGTTCTTGCTCACAATTCTTTCTTACTCACAATTCTTACTTACTTCAATTCATCCTTGCTCACAATTCACTCTTACTCACAATTCTTTCTTACTCACAATTCGTCCTTTCTCACAATTCGTCCTTTCTCATAATTCGTCCTTTCTCACAATTCGTCCTTTCTCATAATTCGTCCTTTCTCACAATTCGTCCTTTCTCATAATTCGTCCTTTCTCACAATTCGTTCATACTCAATTTTTCCCTACTCGAACAATTCGCCCCTACACGCAATTCATTCTTACCAACTGTCCTATCCAATTTGAATTATAACTTTTCTTATCTATCTATCCCACATTCCAATGATGATCTGTAGATTCTATGTGAAGTATCCTGACACGTCATGAGTACTGGAACACCGGACTAACTGTATTATCAGCACCCAACCTTCCTATTCTCTCTCTTACAGTTCTGAGAACCTTATTATCTCTTAGATTTAAACATTTCAAATAAGTCAAATTTTTCCTAAATCAGCAATTCTTCTCATTTAAGTTTATTTTACTAAATGTTAACTAAAGAGAATGAGTTAATCCTTGAAGAACATGCAACCATTAACCCAATGCACTGCACTGTAAATATGTACATAAAACAAGTAGATAGATGTAATTAACAATTTTTATTTATAAATTGGAGAACTGGTTTCAGTATTAAAGCCTGATAATAAAAACAGAAAAGATCTGAGCACTCGCCACAAACCCTAGATCTTTTAAACCTGATGATTTAGACCTTTGATATTTCAAACTATTTGATTTAACATAATCCAATGTTTGAAATAGTAAAGGTTTACAACGTCAGCAAGTTGCAAAGATATTGGGATTATAAAATTATAATTTGTGGCAAGTTTTCGGTTGGCAGCTTTAAAACTGAAAATGCAAAAATATATTGATTTATGTTTAGTAAAAGCTGGAGCTAATGCAAATACTTTTAATTTTAGATATTTGAGCTTTACACGGTGGTAATCTGATAAACATGATTTTATACTCACGCCTTCCTCTCTATATATTTAACTTAGTTTCACATAACCATATTTTTGGAGTAGTCTAATTGTGTGTTTTTCTTTCTTTTTTTTCTTAAATGGACTTGAAGGAAAATATATGATTATGTTGATTTCTTACTAAGATCACTTAATGCCTAAAGTATGTTAATTGTGCATTGTAGAAATAATATAAATGCACAAAGTATGTTAATTGTGCATTGTAGAAGTAATATAAATGCACAAAGTATGTTAATTGTGCATTGTAGAAGTAATATAAATGCACAAAGTATGATTTTGTTAAAAAAATTATTTGAGAATTTTAGGAAAGCAATTTTGGATACTATAAGATAAAAATGCAATAGAATAGGAAATTGAATAAATATATTAGGGAATCATAAAACTATTTATGTCAGAATTTAAAATATTTTATGAGTTTAAGTTGGTTGACAGAGGGGTAATACTTGTGTGGGGCCGAGGCATAAAAGTAAACGGGAAAGTGAGAAGTATGAGACGTGGGTAGGGGGAGGGAGGGAGAGAAAGGGGAGGAAGGGAGAGAAAGGGGAGGGTGAGAGGGGAAAGAGTAAAAATAACAAGAATTTTAGTTAAACAAGGATTGTGTAGGAATAATCAAAGACCCAGGATGAATATGAATAATGAGAAAAAGGCGTGGATTTATGATTGATGGATTGAACCGAGGGGAGAATTTTCCGTCAGGGTTACAGGGGAAACTGAGACAAGAGAGGGAGGAAAACGGGATGAGAAGGAAAGGAGAAGGGAAGGATGAGAGAAAACTAAGAATTGAGAGAAAAGAAGGAGAATATGGAAAAGAAAAGTTAAGAGGTTGAGAATATGTAGAGAGAAGTATGTAAGGTGGAGAAAAAAAAAGTAAAAGAAGAAGGAGAAAAACAAAAAAAGGAGAAGAAGGTAGAAGAAAGAGAAAGAGGTAGAAGAAGAAAGAGAAAGACGATAAGAAGGTATAAGAAAAAGGAGAAAGTGGACAAAGAGATGAAGTTAGAGAGAAAGAAAAGAAGAAATGGTAGAAAGAGGAGTAGCAGGATAAAGAGAAAGTGGATAAACAGGAGAATTAGGAATAAGAGAAGGTTAAACCGGAAAACAAGAGTTAAAGAAGAATAAGAAACTAAAGTTATAGGAAAAGTAACAGTGGAGGAGAAGCAGAATTTAGAGGACAAACCTGTCGTAAGAAAAAGCAGAGAATAGAAAAATTCAAAAACTAAGGAAAGCAAGGTCAATATATGAATAAAATTTCAACTGTCTGTGTATCTACAATGTACATGTATATAGACGAAATCCAAACATAAAAAATGAAAGATCAAAGTGCATGGTAAAGACTGCATCGTATTGTAGACAGTGTAAATAAAGTAGAGTAGAATTTGTGTTTTTTTCCAATATTTGCCCAAATATATATATATATATTAATGTAAATAGTAATGGGAAATGGTCAAAGCATGCACGTTGAACAATCTGGGTTCAATCCAAGATGTGGAGAACTTTCAGTTTTTCTCTATCTTTGATCTTTGCTAGGTGCACATTCTTACTCAAGCCAAGGATCAATATTATGAAAAAATCATAAGTTTTGAGCAAAGAAAATAGAATATATCTTAGAGTGGAATTTAGACAATCCCTCTTTTTTAATTCCTCTCTATATATTCTATTCTCTATGGTTCAATCCCTTTTATCCGCATCTACGAATTTCTTTGTAAACTCATATACATGTTATTCTGACAGTGGAACTACGGAACCTTGAGCACGCATCTCTTTGTGAATGTATGAGAAGCAGCATGCTGGGATAGGTTGACTGAAAATGTTAATTTCAGATCTCAAGAAAAAAAAACATGATTTCTTTCTTCTACAATAAATATAAATGTAAAATTATTCTGCAGAACGGAGCTAGCCTAAAATATCGGGGTTGAGATCTGTTTTTCTAAAAAACTTGATCTAGGTTCTAATCAAATCTATCTCCAGGTCAGGTTTTCTCCACGAACTTACGCCAGCTCCGGAACCAACGGAAGACTGAGGAAGGAGATCCTCAGGACGATGATAGCTATCTCGGATACTCCGTTACAACCGGAGAATTTAACGGAGATGGAGACGGGATGGATGTTGCTGTTGGAATGCCACGTGGAGCAAATCTCACCGGAAAGGTTGAACTTTTTTCTTTTATTATTACTCACAGTAGGAGCTTTTTCCAACCCTGGAATCATAGAATTAATTGCAAAATTGCCAGTATCAATCGTATTTTAATCTTTGGAAACGATGGTTACGTTATTAACTAATTGTTAATTTTATTACAGATTTTAATTTTAATCTTTTATATTTTAAAATGATTGTATTTTCTGCTCCGTCAGCTAACTAAAATTATAAAATTGAATTAAGATTTTTTTAAATGCGTATTATTCTGAGATTAGAAAAAAGTCATTGACTCAAGATACAAATTGAAATACACGTAAGAAAGAAACGAAACAATTTGCTCGCAATTCCAATGTTTTGTCAAGATCTGAAATCTTGATGTAAACAAAATCAATCAGCTGCCGTAAAACTCTAGTCACCAAAAACAAATATTTTGAGAGTTTCGGGTCGTGTTTTCAGTGGATAATCCTGTAAATGTCTTTCTCCGCTTTCATTTTCTGTAAAACTTGTTGTTGTAATCTAACCATAACTTTCTTTTTTATTAGTTCATCTCACACGGAAAGTTTGTTCAATGTTATGTTTAAAGTTATTAATGTGACACGTTCAACTCCTCAACTACTCTCTCAGGAATATAACTTCATATTCATATATTTTTTAAATATATATTTTTCCCCTTAGGGCGCCCTGCCCCCCCCCCCCCCCCCTCCTTCATTTCTCAGCATGCTGACAAAACCCCCTGTCATTTCTCCATATGGAGATATTTATGCATAAAAGTCTGCAGAGATTTTATAAGAACTTCTTATCTCTAACCTATTATGACGATGAGAAAACTAAGAATTGAGAGAAAAGAAGGAGAATATGGAAAAGAAAAGTTAAGAGGTTGAGAATATGTAGAGAGAAGTATGTAAGGTGGAGTTCCTTCATTTCTCAGCATGCTGACAAAACCCCCTGCCATTTCTCCATATGGAGATATTTATGCATAAAAGTCTGCAGAGATTTTATAAGAACTTCTTATCTCTAACCTATTAAGACAGAAGTATCCCTAGCATGGAGATGTTGCGTGCTAGGGTTTGGATAACTTTAGAAGTTTTTTTAATATTAAAATAATTGTGTCATGTTCAGGTTCAGTTTGATCTAATCTAATATATATCAGGTTGTGCTGTACAACTCCAACCTGACAAACCTTAACAACCTGACCGGGACTCAGGTCGGAGCTTACTTCGGATACTGTCTAGCTACCGCTGATCTTAACGGGGATGGACTTGATGATATTATCATAGGTAACCTAACTACTTTCCATTCTAAAACCTATGCTCCCTTTCCATATGTTCCCAGTCTCGGGTCTTGAACTGTAAACAAGGATGCACGACCTAGTGCCTATAAACAAGGTTCCCCGTCAATTACACCTGAAACTTAAACCCTAACTCAGGATTATTTTATCCATCTTGTTTTTCCATCGTCATGTGATCTGAAGGAGAAAATAAAAAACATCTTCAATTTATTTTTAGGTTCTCCGATGTGGACGGATTACTCTATCATGGGAAAGTTTGAAACAGGACGTGTTTATGTTGTGTATCAGGATAAAAATGTAAGTATATTTTTAGATTTTTTTACTATATTATTTAGTGTACCGTGGACCCCCACCCCCTTTTCAGAAAATTAGAACAACATCCTGTCACTAGCCTATCTAAACCTAAGTTAACCTGAGTTGAAAACTGTAGAATTGGATACCCTTAATCCCGATCCCTTAATCTGGAAATCCACTGTGGAAACTTCTGTTTTGGTACACTCTGATGAGTAGAATTCTAGGTACTTTAGTGGATAAAGATTATAAAATCTAAAGATTAACAAGAAATCAAGCATTGATCTCCATATCCACAATTTAAAAGTTTCCAACTCTGGAAAAGTAAAATCATGGGAGGATGTACTTTTTCAAAACTAGGAGATGACGGATCCGAGGGGGCCCCCTCCACCCCCGTCCCGCGGATCCGGGGGACCCCCCTATACCCCCGTCCAGCTCCCCTATAATTGGTTTATTTCAAAGCTGAGTAAATAAATCTAAACCCTGTCCTGTAAACTCATTCAACTTCTGAGATAATGATCAGGGTTCAGCTTGTTTTGGGCAATAAAATAATCTCAAGCAGACTTGCAGGTTCCTTAACTGGAGAATTTGAATGTGTAATTTCCTGAATAAAAGATGTAGTTTTAAACCCAGGTGTCCGCCCATTCATCCATAGGTCAGTGATAGATCTGCAGAGAGCTAAGAGAAACCCGAATTAATTAACAAGCTCACTGAGCAAATTTGTTTGGATTATGGAGAGGTTTTGGAGGGTTGTAAAGATTCAATTTTTTTAAAACCATCGATTTATTTTAAGATTGATTTAATGAAAGAATTAAGATAATACTTCAGATTGAATAATATGTTGAATTAAAATTAGTTTTTTTCGTTTATTTAGAATGAGAAAAAATAAACTCTAGAATGAAAAAGGATGCATGACCTGCTTCAAGTTTAACATGAATCCGATACAAAAACTAAAAGTTCAAAGATCAAACTAATATGCATAGAAAATTCTGGATTCAGGATTTTCTCATTTATCCCCTGAACCCGGCCTGGCAAGATTAAAAGCCCAGTTTCCACAAAATCTTAAAAGTAATTGATTATTCAGCCTGGAATAGGGTTCAGGATTCCCAGAACGGAAATTCCTTGAGTAATCTTCATTTAAATGCATAAACTTCACAATATATACATCTTCGCAAATACAAAGCTGTTTTTCACATTCTTAGAAGTTTACATCTGAGAAAGGATTGCTTGGCTTCTTTAAATTATTTTTATTTTCAGCATCGTTTCCGGAGATTCGAGACTCTGGACGGAGAGAATCATAAAGCAAGGTTCGGGATGGCTGTGGCGTCTCTAGGAGATATAAACCTTGATGGTGCTGCTAGTGGTGACTCCAGTATTGGATACCATGGTAAGTTTTATGTGGATACTAGATATCCAGAAGAGTTTTATGTGGATATTGAATATGGCGAAAATAGGCGGATATCGTGGTGAGTTTTAGGCCGATACTTCTTATGAACGGCGGATACCATGGTAACCTTTAAATGAATACTTTTTAGGTCACGGTTATATTAGTTTCGATAGTTAAAAACTAGTTATAATATGTGGATACTGGCTTGGATATGTAGATACTAGTTAGAATATGTGGATTGTGGATACTGGCTTGGATATGTAGATATATAGTGGTTAGAATATGTGGATTGTGGATCCTGGCTTGGATTTGTAGATAGTAGTTAGAATATGTGGATTGTGGATACTAGCTTGGACATGTAGATTTTAGTTAGAATTTGTTGATATAAGCGCGGATAGATGGATACTAGCTAGGTCACGGTGAACTAGAGGTCCTTGTTAAAAGTCCACTGAGTCTTAACTTCACAACCAATTTAAACCTCTTAAATGTAGATTTTTCATATTGGCTAATTTTACACTTTTTTGTTAGGATATTAAAAATATAAAAATATAAAAAATATAAAAATCTCTTTCGCTATTTTTGACAGATTTAGAATTTAAGATAAAAAATATGACTAAAGATATGCCGATACAAATAGGATGACATTTTTAATAGTTAGTTTTACGTGAGAATAGATGGATAATATCTAGGAGAGGTAGATAATAGCTAGGATAGATGGATAATAGCTAGGATAGGTAGATAATAGCTAGGATAGGTAGATAATATCTAGAATAGATAGATAATAGCTAGGATAGATGGATCATATCGAGGATAGATGGATAATATCCAGGATAGGTGGATAATATCTAGGATAGATAGATAATATCAAGGATAGATAGATAATAGCTAGGATAGATGGATAATATCGAGGATAGATGGATCATATCGAGGATAGATGGATCATATCGAGAATAGATAGATAATATCTAGGATAGATGGATAATATCTAAGAAAGGTAGATGCAAGCTAGAATATGTAGATTCTAGTTAGGATATTTGGATACTCGTTAGGAAAGGTGGATGAAAGTTAGGAAAGGTGGATGAAAGTTAGGATAATGGATATTAGATAAAGCAGAATACTAGTTAGGATAGGTGGATAGATGCGTGTGTGAGATATTAGGATGATATTGAAGAGCTTGGATTGGGTTGTATCAGGGTTGTATATTGAGCTTGACAGATAATCCTGACTGAATACTTGATTAAATGAAATGATGCTGAGATTGAATTTAATCTTAGAGGAGGTTAATCTTCGAACCATGATTTGAATACTTGGACAGATTGGGTTCCTGTCCCTCCGTTTTCAGATTGGGTTCCTGTCCCTCCGTTTTCAGATTGAGTTTAATCTCGGGGTTCAATTAATATGTGTAGAAAGTAAAAATGTTTAGAACATGATAGATGATCTTTAATTGTGTATTCTGATTCTCTCTATGCTCTAACAGGTTTTCAAAAGCTTAAAGGCATGAGTCCTAAAAATGGGCATGAACCTTAGACAGGTGTTGAGGTCCAACCTTAGAGCTCAGTTTATCTTCTAGCGCAGAAACACATAAAATACTATTATAGCGCCCGCCCGTTGTTCTGACTTAATTAAACAAGAAAATTTCACATTCCTATATCCTGATCAGGCCTCTCATCAATCCAGTAGGATAGATTACACAGCTCAGGGTTCACAGGGAACCTGATATCAACCCCCAACTCTGGAGTATATAACAGGCATTAATATTTAATTAAATCATCACCCTTCCCTAGATATAGAGGATAAATATCTACTACCATTTCGTGCATGCTTCAGCCCACAGTGTTTACCGGTTTGAAGCTCTACAATGCGTTAGAAGTAAGGATTAGTCTTGGATCGGAGTTACTCAGCAAGATCCGTGAAATATGTTGGATAAACCAAACCTGCGTTCCATTCAATCACTATCCTGCTGTCTAACAAAGTTTCTACGCTAAACTTTAACTGCCCAAATATGGTTCTATGAATATATATATATTGTATGCCTACATACATATACGTATCTTTCTTCATCTATCTCCCTTCCCTCTCCTACTGAATGTATAAAATTATGCTTCCTGGATGGAAGTAAGGAGAAGGTTTTTTTTTCTTTTAATGCTTCTCTACTTCCCCGTTTCAACTCGAATAGAGTAGTATGGTGTTCTAAACATATCTATTGATAAATAAGAATGCATTGCAAACAACTTTTATACATTATCACTGGATAGCACAATGCAAGGTTGAATACATTCTCGTACATTGATTTAACGGCAATTCCTTTGCTCAATTCTTTGACCAGGAAATTTTGCACCAGACCCGTACCAGACCCTTGAGTTTTACCCAGATAATATTGTACCAGACCATTGAGTTACACCAAGATCATCTTTTACCAGACCCGTACCAGGTCCAGACCCTTCATTTATACCAAGATAATAATGTACCAGACCCTTGAGTTATACCAAGATATTCTTGTACCAGACCCTTGAGTTATTATGGGTTTAGAGTGGAGCTGCGACGATGAAGCTAAGGCGGATCGAGTATGAAAATAAAAAATGTTAAATGATGAGATAGGACATGTTAAGTTTGGAGCTAAATCAGAGTTTGGAAAGTCATTTTGAATATGAAGTTAGGATGCTTTCAGAAGAGTTTAGTACAAATAAAAATAATTGTTAATACGGAGTTAGCACAGCTGTTGACTATGGAACTAGAACTGGTTGAGTATGGAGTAAGGACGAGTTGATTATTGACTACGGAGCTAGGACAGGTTTTAAATGGAGCAAGGAAGAGTTAAGTATTGACTACGGAGCTAGGACAGGTTGAGTGTGAAGCTAGGACGAGTTGAGTATTGACTACGGAGCTAGGACTGGTTGAATATGGAACTAGAAATAACTGAGTATTGACTGCGGAGCTAGGAAGGGTTGAGTACGGAGCAAGGACGAGTTGAGTATTGACTACGGAGCTAGGACAGGTTTTATATGGAGCAAGGAAGAGTTGAGTATTGAGTACGGAGCTAGGACAGGTTGAATATGGAACTAGAAATAGCTGAGTATTGACTACGGTGCTAGGACGGGTTGAGTGTGAAGCTAGGACGAGTTAAGTATTGACTACGGAGCTAGGACAGGTTTTATATGGAGCTAGGAAGAGTTGAGTATTGGCTACGGAGCTAGGACGAGTTGAGTATTAACTACGGAGCTAGTTCGGGTTGTGTATGGAGCTAGAACGAGCTAAGTATTGACTACGGAGCTAGGACGGGTTGAGTATTCAGGAAGTAAGCGTAGCGATGCTTGCACATTCTTACAAGGAAGGTCGTAAAGTTAAACCCCAGTGAGTCATATTTCAGGTTTAGAATTGGAGGGATACCCGGGTCCAATTCTAAACATAAGGGGGGGGGGGGG